GCCATGTGGTCCAAAGGCAGTACATTTGTAGACCCACTAAAAATGTTCTCCGAGCTTTCTCACTGTGCGGGGTGTGTGCGTGTAGGTGCCTTTCTCAAAGGTTTCTGCCTTCTTCTCTCCTGGGTGTCTTTTTAAAAAAACTTCTTCTGGCCCCAGCGCCCAGAAAATGTCTTCGTTTCTTGACCCTTATTGAACTGCTGGGTGACTGGGTTAGAAAGGAAAGAGAGTTTATGTGCTTCCAGTTCTACTTTTCTCTTGTAAAAAGTTCAAGGCAACAGCAACCCAGGAAAGCAAACAGAGCACAAGGCGCTTTGGTGACGTGAAGGAGCAGCGTTAGGTCCTGCCCAGGATTGCTTTGGGTCCCTTGAGCTGCCCCACAACCCGCTTTGAGATGCTTGGGTCCCTTGAGCTGGACAGGCCAGCCTCTGGAGAGCTGAGCGGTTTAGGTCTCTGGCTGTGGAGGCAGAGGTTGGGAGTGCGATGCCTTACTGTGCTTCTTTGGTGGGCTGGACGTGGTGATCCAGAGGGTCTCTTTCAGCTCTGCTGGTCTAAGGTGGTTTCTCAGCCTTCCTCCTCCTCCTCCTCCTCCTCCTCCTCCTCTTCTTCCTCTCTCCCTGTGTGCTCAGGAGCGCCAGCGGCTGGAGACCATCCTCAACCTGTGTGCTGAGTACACGCGTAGCGATAGTGATGCCGGCCGGGACCACTGCCCCTTCCCGAGTGGGGCCGAGACCCCCACCCAGCCTGGGAGGAGGCCATCCAAGGGGTCGGCCAGTCTTGGGGAGGCCAAGGAGCGACTTGTGAGGTCCCGGGGGCTGCACGAAAGAGAGGGGCCGGAGGAGGACCACCTGAAAGAGGAAGAGAGCAGCAGCACCGAGAGTGCGGGCCATGAGGTGAGGGGGCAGGAGGGGGGCTAGCCACCCTTAGAAAGAGAGGGAGGGGGTTGCAGTGACTCATGACAGCAAGGTGCTCTCCAAGGTGCCCATGCGCCCCCACCCCCAGCTCCTGCTGTTCCCCAAGCAGGTGGATCCAGGGTGATGGCGGAGCTTTTTATTCCTCACTTCCAAGAGCTCATGGGGGGGCGGGGGGAGACAGACAGAGAGGCGACAGTCTTGGCTGAAATGGCAAGTGTGGAGGCCACGCAGTTGGCCAGGAAGTCTGCATGGGTAGACTGCTGCCCCCCCCGAGGGGAACAGCTGGAGCAGGTCTTCCTTGAGCTGATTTGGGGACCGAGAGAGGCTGGGAAAGGGAGAGGCAAAAGGCAGAAGCCTGGTTGGAGTTAGCCTTCCCTGTTAGCTGGGGGGTGGGGGGGAGGGAGAAAGAGTGGGTTCCCAGGGAAGGGGAAGGAAGAGCCCTTGATCCAGACAGGAACAAAAGCACGGCCGAGAAGTGGGCAGGAAAATGGAACAAGATAATGGGAGACGCCTCCAAGCAGGCAGGGTCCGGACCCGACTCCTCACTTGCCTTTGGTCGGCCAAAGTCTTAGCTGGCAACATATGCGCTTTGACCTGTGGACGTTGCCCCGTTGAGCTGGTGGGCACTTATCCCGCCCCCGTTTCCTTGTGGAAGGAAAGTCTGGCGAGGCGCGCCCTGGGCCACTGCCATTTCTGTGGACGAGCCCGATGGCAGTGCGTAGAGCTTAAGCCTTGGCCAACCTTTCTGCAGCACGATGAGCCGCCCGGGACGAGAGGTGCTCCGGAGGCAGCCTTGCTGGAGGAGGAGCGTGCCCGCACCCTGGCCACCATTGACCAGCTCAAGAGCCGTGCCAAGGAGCTGGAACAGCAGCTGCAGGAGACAGCCCGGGAGGTGAGGCATCAGGATGGCTTGCCTAGGGAGGGGGGGGCGGCGCCTAGGAGGGGCTGGTAGGAGGTCTGCCTTCCAGCCTTTCCTGCTCACCAAGGAGGGTAGGAAGTGCTGGTCCCCGGACCAGCCGGGACTGCTCCCCTTACATCCCACACCCACGGTGGCCCCTTCTGGTTTCCCCTTTGAGGAGAGCCCTGCAAGGAGGGGTCACGGCTCTTCCTGGAGGGGGGGTTAAAGAGGGAGAGGGACCACCCCAGAGCGTGACAGGGCAGCTTTCCTGCCCTCCCCAGGCGGAGATGGAGCGGGCCCTCCTGCAGGGGGAGCGAGAGGCTGAGCTGACCCAGCTGCAGCAAGAGCAGGAAGTGGCTCAGCGCCTGCAGGAACGGCTCTCCAGCCTGGACGCCGCCATCCATCGGGACCGAGACAAGGTAAGCAGCTGGCTCAGCTGCTCTGCCCTTCCTGCGCCAGAGGAGGCCTGCTCACTGCCACGGCTCCACTTCGGCCCTTGTGGGAGAGAGCGGATGGGGGCCTTCTGCGCAGAGCCCCAGCCGAGTGGCGCCTGTCCTCCCCTTCTGCCTGCGGCTTTCCCACGCACCACTCGCTCGCTTGGGGACCGCTGGCGCTCTCACCTCTGGGCGGTGGCTCTCCCGCGATGCTGCGCGGCCAGCCGGAGGGCCCCTTTTCAAGCTCCGGAGGGGGGGGGGAGTTTTTCTCTTCTTCCAGGCTTTGGTGTAGGAGGTCCCTGATGGAGCCAGGCTCAGCTGCTGGAGGGGGAGCAGTGGCAAAACGTGTGACCCCCAGTCCTTCCTTTCCTGCCCCCTCTCCAAATGCCCGGAGAGGAGCATTGCACTGGATGGAAGGCTAAAAGGAGACACCCCCCTCCTTTTAGGGGGGCCGCTCATTCCCACCATTTCCCAAACCTTTGCTCTCGGACAGGGAGCCTGGGGGAAGCACACATCCTGCGGAGTCCTGCCACTAACCACTCAGCCTGCACTAACCCTAACCGTAACCCCTCTGTTCAGTTTTTCTCTCTCTCTCTCTTTCTCCACTTGCTTCTGTGACTGCCCACAGAGAGAGGCAGATGGTGGCTGAGGCCACAGAGGCAGGCAGGCAGGCGGGGGGGGGGGCTGCTGGACCGAGCCTTCCCATACACAGCCTGCCTCTCGGGGTACTGAGACCTGGCTTGGGGGCTTCCGCTCTTCTTCCTGTGCTGTGGAGCTGTGGGTGGGGTCCTGCAAATTTGCAGTGCTCTCAAGGACCTTTGCAAATGCACAGTCTGAGACCCTTTCTGGTCTGGGAGAGGATGCCGACCCCCCACCTACCAGGCCAGCCGGTCCAGGGTGGTAGAGGGTGTGAGCCTTCAGTGTCATAGTGGTGGAAGAGGCAGGATGGTCTCTGGGCAGGTTTGCCAGGGATCTTTTCCCCAGACGTGGGTGGAAGACCAAGACCAGGCCAGGTGCCCAGCAGGCATCTGCCTTGGGTGTGTGCAGATGGGGTGGGGGCAGGGCATGATGCTTGGATGAGCAAGTCTCGCATTCGGGTGCAGAGGTGTGACAGAAGCTTGTGCAGCCTTTTCAAATGAAAAGTGAAGACTCCGATGCTGGAGTGCCATGAAATCCTGCCCCAAACAAAAATGATGGATGCCGGGCAAAGTAACCTCTGCGCTGAAAGGCTCTTGGGGTGGGGGTGATAAAGACAGCATCTTGCAGGGTGCCAGAGGAAACCCTGGAGTTGCTGTTGCTGAACCTCCAACCACCACCATCCTGCTGCATGCTTCCTCCACTTGCAGCTCAGGAGACCTGGCGTTCTGCGACCAAAGGTGCCGGGCCCCCTTGAAAGAGGAACGAGCCATGCCGGGGTGGCTTAAGCCCTCGTGGGCTGCAGCTCCTGGCCTCCGATGCAGCCCCCGAACACTCCATGGCCGAAATCTAGTAGGGAGGCCCAGCAAGAGTAGGCCCACTGAACGAGTGAGGATTTGGTGAGTCAACACATCTGTAAGTCCCATGGATTCTACGACCCCAGTTGTGGCTTCTTACCGCATTTCAGGCAAGGTCAAACCACATTTGCCAGCCCGGCAAAGGCCACAAGAACTTTTACTCTGTTTGCAGCGGCAGGCCTACCTTGAGAAGTTCTGCACCACGAAGAGTGCCATGGTGGGGTGTGTGTAAGGGAGCACAACTGTGCCTCTTTCATGCAGAATACCAGCCTTTCCAGGCAGAACGTTCCTCATAGGGACTCTGGCCTTGGTCTCCTTGGAGCGGGCTCAGGGAAGCCACGCTCCGGGGTCCTTGGAGGGAGGCCCCGAGAGTCCTCGGCTGGCAGCGCCCAGGCCAGTCTCCCTCGGAAGGGCTCGAGCACGGCCGTGCGAGATAAAGACCTTGGAGCACCGAAGCTGGGAGTCCCTGGAAGAGTCGCATCCGACACATAGCCCTGGCTATCGCTGCACTGACACCCCCCCCCCGAGAGCCCGACTGGTTCCTCTGCCTTTACTAATTCACTCACATAAGCCCCAAACTGTCCAGGGCCCCCTGACACTCCCCACCCTGCCCTCAAACCGGAGTGACTCCAATGCCAGTGGGTCAGACCCTCGTTTTGTGTCTCAAAGGTAGCACAGGCTTGTCTGTTGTGAGATGGGCTGGGTGGTGGGGTGTGTGCGAGATGGGGCTGACAGGCAGGGCTGGGCTGGGCTGGGCTGGGCTGGGGAGGGCGAGGTGAGGTCTCGTAAGCTGGGCTGAAAGCAGAACCGTTTGCAGCAGCTCCCAGGCCTTGCGTGGTTGAACCAGGTGTGGGGGGAGGTGGGCCGGGGGGGGTCAGCACCAACTCTGCCAGGGCTGCAGCTTTGAGATGCAAGACCGAGGAGGTCCTGAGTGGAGGCCCAGCAACCCTATTCGTTTTTCTCTCACACCCACTCACCCCCACCCCCATGACTTCCCCACTAATCCCCTAAGCTTTGCATGGCCTGCTCTTGAGAAGTATGTCCTCTCTCTCTCTCTCTCTCTCTCTCTCTCTCTCTGCCTCTGCCTCTTTCGTGTGTGTTGTTTTCTCCCGGATTCAGGAGAGAGCAAAGGTTGATGCGGAAAGGAAGCAGCTCGAGAGACTGCGGGCGCTCTACTCTGAGCTCAGGACCCAGCTTGACAACTGCCCTGAGTCCATGAGGGAGCAGCTGCAGGAGCAAACGCAAAGGGTCAGTGCCTCCCTCCTTCCTTCCCCTGCCCCTCCCTGCCCTCGAGGTGGCCCTGCGCCGCTCGGCCGCTCAGCACCAGGCGACGGTAAGCACGGTAGGCAGGCAGGCAGGCAGGGCAGGCATGCGCCCCTTCCCCCCCCCCACCACCCTCAGCTTTGGACAGCCACCCCATTTGCCCAGCCACCCTAAAGGGCACACAGCAAATGGAACCAAGCGCTGCTCGGCTTGGGACGCCCCGCCGTCTCCTGCTGTCGCACGTCTCTCCTTTGCCTGGAAGCCCCCTAATCCTTCCCGAGACCTAACAGGGACGGCCGTCTCCTGCTGCAGGAAGCCGAGGCCCTGGAGGCCGAGAGCAAGCTCTTCGAGGACCTGGAGTTTCAGCAGCTGGAGAAGGAGAGCCGGGCGGAGGAGGAGCAGGAGAGGCTCAG